GCCTTCTTTAAAATTCAATGCATATGTAAAGAAATATACGGTAACCCGAATTTACCACACTCGCAAAATCGCACACAGCCAACCATACACCCAGTATGGTATCGCGATTCGTGATTTTGCGCTATCATACTGGGTGTATGGTCGGCTGTGTGCGATTTTGCGAGTGTGGTAAAATCGCATAACAGCAAAATCGCATAACAGCCGAGCATACACCCAGCAGCGCTGCTGATGCCTGAACGGTATGTGGAATGAAGTGGGCGGGCATCGGGAGGCCACTATGGCACGGGGCAAGCACTATGGGCAGTCTATCTGAAGTGTACCTGGCGTATAAGACGACCCCCCACTTGGAGGCATATTTTTCAGGGCCAAAAAATCGTCTTATACGCCGGCAAATACGGTATTTCTCTTTTCTATATATAAAAAAATGTAGTAGGTGATCAGAAAAGTGTTAGGAGATAAATTTCAAAATTGCTTAAAAATATTCTTTTCTACCTATTCTCTTGCCTCCTCCTCCTGTGCCAGCGGGTTTGCAAGTTCACAGTAATTTCCATGGCGGAAGGACTCGAGTGTGCTCTGGCTCCAGACGGTCCTTTTTCTGTCGGATGAAGAGTTGTAAAGTCTCTGTCAAAGAAGAGCATGACTGCTCACCCGATGCAACGAAGAAAGGTATCGTGTCCAGTATGAGTCTCTGGGAGCACAGGAGAAGGAAAGGGCAAGAAAGAGCAAGAAGGGATGCTCTGGGCAGCAGTGCCCAAGACTGCGGTGGAGATTTCTTCCTTACTTGCATTTTCTCACAGCTTCTATAGCAATCTCATTTCTAAAAAGTTCCCTATCTATTGGCTGTACTTAAGGAAAAGTGGTAGTGAGGAGCCCGAGATCGTTACCTGACACAGTAGTCTCTAATTGGTCAGTCAGCAATTATTTAGTCTCTATTTAGGCACCATACCAAGTGCAAAAGCTACACTGGAAACAGGTAGACAAAGGTATTGCTCTAGCAAACCTCAGAGGGACAGGAGGCAGCCATTTGACAAGTAAATTAATAAATATTTCAGGTAGCAGAAAGTACAATGACGTCAATAAAATAGGATAAGGAGGACAGGGACTAGGAAGAAGCAGTACTTTAGAGTACTCAGAGAATCTCTCTCACGTGACATTTGATCTGAGACCTGGATCATTATGATGAGTCAGCTATGCACAAATTTATGGAAAGAAATTCCTGACCAAAGGACAAGGGTAAAGACCTTGAGGTAGGAAAACTTCAGATTTTGGGGGTCTCAACAAGATCAGTGTAACTAGACTTTAGATGCCAAAGAGAGTGTTCGGAAGGGAGGCAGCCGGGACCAGATCTGAAGGCTCACATGGGCTAGGGGCAGTGCTGAGCAGGTTAGTGATGAACAACCAGCTTTCTGAGTGTAGTTCCGATAAGAATGTTGGTTGATATTTTCCTATGCAGTGATAAGTAAGATGAAAGTGAAATCATGAAGACACGGTGTTGGAATTTCACTCATTTTTCAATGATATGTGAGTCTGCTAAAAATGAATATGTTTTTAAATACTGGAATATTATTTATTCAGTATTTTTGTGTTATCCAACACACTTTTAAGTTTAATCCATTGTTGATATTTTATCACTTGTAGAGGTCTAGACCAGTGGTTGGCAAACTGCGGCTCGGCAAACGCGAGCCACATGCGGCTCTTTGGCCCCTTCAGTGTGGCTCTTCCACAAAATACCGGCTCTTCCACAAAATGTCGACTTCTGCACATGGGCCACGAAGTTTCAATTGCACTGTACATGCGTGCCCGCACGTGGTATTTTGTGGAAGAGCCACACTGAAGGGGCCAAAGATCCTCATATGGCTCGTGAGCCATGGTTTGCCAACCACAATCAGGAAAAAAACAACAAATCAAGTCCTGATTTATAGCTTTGCCAATTTCTATGGTGTAAATAGTCACATGTTGGCTAATTTAAAGACACTTATATGAAGTCATTGAACACGGTAGAGAAGGAATGATATCATGTTCAAAAAGAATTACTGTAATTTTTAAAAACTGTATTTATTAAGAACATATTATGGCCCAAACACTATTCTATATGCTGGGGCCAGAGCAGTGAACAAAACAAAATCCTTGCTGATGGTGATAAGTACTATGAAAAAAAAGAAAATAGAAGTACAGTTAGAACTAGACCTTCAAATCACATGGTTTTAAAAAATAATAAAGCATACCATCAACAAAGTGAAGACAACCTGAATGGGAGACAACTGATGGAAGAAGATATGTGCAAGTGATATATAGCCGATAAGAAGTTAGTATACAAGGAACTCATGTAAGTCAATAGCCAATAAAACCCCCACAAAGAATCAATTAAACAATGGGTAGAGGACCTAGATAGACATTTCTCCAAAGAGGACATACAGATGTCCACTAGACTTACAAAAGATGCTCATTATCACAATCATCAGGGAAATGCAAATCAAAACCACAATGAGATATCATCTGACACCAATCAGAATAACTATCCTATATAATAAAAGCCTAGGTGGTGTCATGTCCTTGTGCAACATCACAAGATGGCCACCACAAGATGGCCGGCAGGGGAGGGCAGTTGGGAGCAATCTGGCTGGCAGGGGAGCAGTTAAAGGGTGATCAGGCTGGCAGGCAGAAACTATTAGGGACAATCAGGCAGGCAGGCAGGCAAGCAGTTAGGAGCCAGCAGTCCTGGATTGTGAGAGGGGTAAATGGCAGTCGTACATCCCCCAAGGGGTCCAAGATTGGAGAGGGTGTAGGCCTGGCTGAGGGACACCCCCTCCATGCACAAATTTCATGCACCGGACCACTAGTCATCAGTAAATCAACAAACAAGTGTTGGTGAGGATGTGGAGAAAAGAGAACCCTCATTGGTGCAGCCAGTATGAAAAACAATATGGAGATTCCTCAAAAACTTTAAATAGAACTGCCATATGATCCAGCATTTCTACTTCTGGGTATTTATCCAGAGAAAACAAAAACACTAATCAAAGAGATATATGCAGCCCTATTTCCAATAGCCAAGGTATGGAAGCAACCTAGATTTCTGTTGCTAGACAATTGGATAAAAGAGATGTTATCCTATCTAATAAAGAGGGAATATGCTAATTGACCCTCACACCATCGCAAACATGGTGGCACCCACAGCCAATAAGGAGGGAATATGCTAATTGCCCACCCTCAAAGGTGGCAGCACCCACAGCCAATAACGAGCGAGTATGCCAGTTGACTGCCACACCCTCAAGATGGCAGTGCCCAGTCCCCTCAGCTCCGCCAGGGCGGCAGGCGTGGCAAGGCCTCTGGAGTACCCCAGTCCCCTCAGCACCCCCAGCCTCCCAGGGCTGGCCCAAGGCGCAGGCAAGCTTTGGATGGTGGCTGCCCAGCTGAAGCGCGAGGTGCAGGCAAGCCTCAAATGGCAGCTGCCCAGCCGCCCAGGGCCGCCCGAGGCTTGCACTGCCGGCAGTGGCAGCAGCAGAGGTGTGATGGGGCATCACCTTCCCCTGATCGTCAGGTCACCTCCCACCCCTGAGGGCTCCTGGATGTGAGAGGGGGCAGGCCGAACTGAGGGACCCTCCTTCAGTGCATGAATTTTCATGCACCGGGCCTCTAGTATGTATGTACAATGGAATATTACTCAACAGTAAAACAGAATGAAGTCTTGCCATTTGTGACAACATGGATGGATCTAGAGGGTATTAATGCTACGTGAAATAAATCAGACAAAGACAAATACCGTATTATTTTACTTTTATGTGAAATCTAAAAAATAAAAGAACAAACAAAACAGAAACAGACTCATAGATACAGAGAACAAACCGATGGCTGTCAGATGGGTGGGGAAGGGAAGTAAGAGGTATACACTTTCACTTATAAAATACGCCACGGGAGTGTAATGTACAGAACAGGGAACATAGTCAATGATACCATAAAAACTTTATACTCTCACAGTTACTAGACTTATCATGGTGATCACTATGTTGCACACCTGAAACTAATAATATTGTATGACAACTATACTTTAACAAAAAATTTAAAAAGCATAAGTAGTTACATTGATTTATTAAATATGTGTGATTTTTAAAGAAAAAAGTTTCACAAATTTTAATATAATTTGTTCTTAAAACAAATTCTTATTTTTTATCCTTTTCTCATATTTTTAATTTTAGTTTTGTTTTAGGATATACGTATTAGTACAAAAGTGGGTGTATATCATTTATACATGTAAAGGGTGCCTACATTTTTTATAGCATGCTAAATAAGAAATATTTGAAGTCCATTGCTTTAGAAATTAGAGAAATAACAGATGAGTCTCGGCAGTGCTCTCTGGGAACATCTCTGCACTTTAGCTGACCCCCTAGCCCAGTGATCGGCAAACTCATTAGTCAACAGAGCCAAATATCAACAATACAACGATTGAAATTTCTTTTGAGAGCCAGATTTTTTAAACTTAAACTATATAGGTAGGTACATTGTTATTAACTTAATTAGGGTACTCCTAAGGCTTAGGAAGAGCCACACTCAAGGGGCTAAAGAGCCGCATGTGGCTCGCGAGCCGCAGTTTGCCGACCATGGCCCTAGCCTGATAGGGAGGAAGATTGCTTTGTGTTGTATTAGGTCTAGTGGGAGCTGAGTGACCATTGCCCTCACTGCAGTGGATTATAAAGAACCAAAGTACACACCCTAGGTATGCCTCCTTTTGGAGTTCATACTAACATTAGAGGGGGTGAAGGCATGTAGACCAGCTGGGAGAACCTCAAGATACATTTCAAAAGATCTGTTCCCCAATAAGGCAGACCCTAAGGAATGAACAGTGGACACATTGAAGTTTTAAGAGGACAGCTTGGTGACATGCTTGTCCACCATAGTGAAAGTTGAATCCCGAGTTGAGAAGTGCCCAGTATGGAAGAGAAGATCGAGTCTGCTAAGTCTATGGCTCTGGCACCTTCCAGAAGTTTACCAGGCTCAAATCTTCAAAACAGAATACCAGTGGCCACCCCAGGCCATCTTGCTGGAAGGAATGGAGAATGCAAGCCTATAGGCAGGTCAGGACCATGAAACACAGGCAACATCTCTTTTCCAGGAAACCTTCCCTGACACCCTCCCCGTCCTGATTGGCTTGAGTCCTGGGTACCCACTTTTGGTAATCCTATCTAATAAAGAAGGAATATGCTAATTGACCCTCATGCTGTTGCGCACCTGCCTCCGGAGTCCCCCAGTCCCCTCAACCCTCCAGCCCCCCAGGGCTGGCCTGAGGTGCAGGCAAACCTCAGATGGTGGCTGCCCAGCTGCCCAGGGCCGCCCGAGGCTTGCGCTGCCGGCAGTGGCAGCAGCAGAGGTGTGATGGGGGCATCGCCTTCCCCTGATCTCCGGGTCACCTCTGGCCCCCGACACATAATTGATTCAGAGCCCAAAGAATAGTTAAGAATCCAGTGAATTAATTACATTGTAATGTTTTTGTTTTGCCCAAGAAGCAATTGGGACATATTTTAAAAGTTTTTATCCCAAGAAGTTTTTAGCAAATGCTATGGACTGAATTGTGTCCCCTAAAATTCATTTGTTGAACCTCTCACCCCTCAATGTGATGGTATTTGGAGATGGGATCTTTTGGGAGGTAATTAGGTTTAGGTGAAGTCATGAGA